TGGCGCAGCGCATGTCCTTTGGCTTGTTCAGCAGCGGCGCCGGCGTGCAGACACGCTGCGAATTTGTTCGCATGAAGGGACCACAGGGCAAAGGTCATGCCGAGATGGCAGTGACCAAACCCAAAGGCTCTGGCGTTGAAACGCCTACCAGCGAGCCAGGCTTCTGTGCGACAGATATGTGGGACGAATGGGAAGAGGAGAACGATGATTATTGCACGTACCGTCACCAGCGCCGCCTCAGCGATCCCAGCGCCAATCTCAATAATTTCTCACGCTACGGCTGGCGCACCAAGAACACCAACCAGGACATGGTTAGCAGCGGCACCAGCGCCAGCGCCGGCGCCAAGGCGCGCTCCGAAAACGAAGGCCTCGACACGCTGGCCAACGAAGTATCTGAAATCGAGGCAGGCGATTTGCGGGATGGTAAGCAACGTTTTTCTAGCTCTATTCTTTTGTATGTATATTCGCAACGGTTTCACAGACATATCGTATTTTATTTATGTTTTGCATGTACTCTCAGCTCATTTGTAAATTATTTAACTAAAAATTCCATTATGGATATCGTAAATGTAGTTAATTGCGACTATTTAGAATTTTGCTTTATTTTGTTGCGCTTTTTCTGCCTGCTTTGCTCTGCTTTCCTAACTTTTCTTTGTGTTTCCTTGTAAACATGTTGTGGTTCCTAAGATTTTCCTTAAATTAACAAATTTCAAATTCAAATTAACCAGCAATAATGTGTGTATATATATCCAAGGACCAAAGAATATATATATATATATATATATATCTAAAACATATACTTGACTTTGCCGAGAAAGCAGGACAACTATAAACAACAACAGAATATCAAATTTTTTGATTAAAACTTGAGTTTGCTTTTCTTTTAAATATTCTAAATTAAGTGTTAAAACAAATGGGCTATACATTTAGGATCGAAGTACTATAATATTAGAGCACATTTAGAGACAAAAATAATGAGAAAGAATTCGTTTTTATTAAGTTTTAAAAGAAAATTTATACAATAATTCAAAACAGAAGACCAATTTTTATAAAGTAAGGCATTAGTTTAAATTGTTCAATCTTGAGGACACCCTGGCAGCTGGTAGGGGTATTCACTATTGTAGTTATTCATACAATACAGCCTATTTATTCATTGTACATAGCTTCAGTCCGAGCTTTTTGTTGGGTTTTTGCTCTTGAATACCCGTTCGCCATATGTCCCATGATATTTCACATAACACCACCTGCTCCTCGACGCCGAAATCTCCCCACCCCGACAACCACTTCTAGTGCCCTCGCCTATTAGCGCTATCCTGGCCTTATTTATTTGCTTATTTTAATTTGTTAGCAAACAATTTTAATTTTATATTTGCTTGAAGACCGAGTTACACTCGGTTGTTGTATGTGTCGTTGTATATGCTTTATAAAAAAAATGCAACAAACCGATCTATATCTACTTGTAGATCAGCAACGTCCTGCTTTCTCGGCCTCCGCGGCAAAACTGCATCAAAATCCAAATTGTGAAACGCTCAAATTGGCAGTTGGCGAGCCAGACCAAACGCCACTTGCCATAAACTCTGAACCAGTTGCGAGCACAGCTAACGAGTCCACGGACAGTGCTGTCACGGCCGTCACACCGCCGCCGCTCAGTGCGGCCGTTGAGGTGACGGTGGGCAGCGCCGGCTCCGGTGACGATGTGGGCAACAGCAGCACGGGCTGCAATTGCTTTGGTGGCGGCAAAAAGTGCAAGAAACGCTGGACCTCATCCGCGAACAGTGCCAACGACACGCCCGAAATGTCCGAGATATACTGTCCCAGTTGCGAGGATGCGGCGAACGAGACAGCCGCCTGCCTCAGCAAAATGCCGGACAAGCGGCAGGCCAGGCTCAAGCCCAAGCCGCCCAGCATATTGTGCGTGGAGAGCGAGCTAGTGGTCGCTAAGCGGGGCAGCCTGCGGCTCAGCGATGGCAAAGGTCGCAAGGGCAACAACATTACACGCAGCGTATCCTTGAGTGCCGCAGATCGGCGAACGAGTGTGCCAATGCCCAGAAAGGCGACGCCAACGCGTGTGCGCCTGGTCAAAACCAAGGAGCTGGACAAGGGCAAGGATAAGGATAAGGAGAACGATAAGAAATCTTCGAATCAGAAAACAAATAGTGCCAGCAATTTGCTGGCCAAGATGTCACCAAAAAGGTTGCGCAATGCCAAGGCCAGCGACAAAGAGAAAGAGAAGAGTAAGGAGAAGGACAAGGATAAGTCCAAAGTCGCTGTCAAGTCCAAAACTGGCAGCAGCAACAATAACCATGTGAAGGCTACAACAGCTCCATCCAAAACGGAGGAGTATGAAATTGCGGATGATGCCACCTCCCTAAATGGTGAATCCCTAGATGCCGGCACATGTGCAGCTGCTGGCGCCGCCAAAATAGCCATACTGAGCGAAAGCGACAGCAAGCTGATGATTAGCGTGCGCGGTCGCGAAGAGCTGCCCGTGGTGGAGGAGCAAGCCCTAACGCCATCGCCTTCGCCGCCCGTTGTGGCGCCGGCGCAACATTTTGTAAAGTGTTTACGTGTACCTGTGAAATCAGAGAGCCATCCATTGCAGCTGTCATCGGACAGCGCAAACAACGATAATATTGTGGAGCCGGAATCGGAGCCGGAGCTGGAACAGCAGCCCCTGCTCAATGGCGAGGCGGATGCGGCAAATGGCAACCAAACGGCAGCCAGTAGCGCCACATTGCCTCGCACCGCCAAGCAATCCTACTACAACAAGGTGCTGCATCTTGTGCCCAAGCGTCGAACACCGGACGGCACCAATATCTACTACTGGTGCGATCTTCCCAAGAAGGCGCTCAAAGGTTATCTAAAATCCCATACAAATTTGATATTCCTAACCCAATCTGCATGTTTCTTCATATGCGAATCTTGCTTCAATTGCAATCTTTTCTAATTTTTTTTGTTATTTTTCTGCTTACAGAACTGGACGATGGCGCCTATAATCCTCTATGGACCAGTCGTGGCTTTACGCAATCCTTTCACTTCTGGAAGGAGAATCGACGACAACAGTCTACGCCGCTCAACGCATTCCTTACCTATGTCACTCTGCCCTGGTGGAGCATTGCCAAGGGTAACTACCTATTAATATAACCCTGTTTATTCGGACTTGTCAACTAATATCTGAACCATGTTATTCCTTATGCAGATCTTTTGGATCATCGGGAGACGCCCATACTGACTTTTTAGTATTAGACCTGCTCGATGCTTGTGATTTGCTGCTAATCTATGCTTTAAAGTATTATATATCTCCAATTTATTAGTTCTCAACATCTGGCAAATCATGTGATCTGTTTTACGTTAATTAAACAAATATTTATCCATTCATTATATTTTACTTTTGGTTCACCTTGACCAATGCCAACGCCCGCAGCTAAGTTGAGTTTCCTAAGCTATGCCACTTTCTGTTTGATTAGGGCATTATTAGATATACTAACTATATATGCGATATACTTATGTATGTGTGTGTGTGTAGCATGTTTGTATTTAAATGCAGCGCTGAGCCAACCTACAAATTTATAAACTACTTATATAGATATATAAATATATACATACACCTACTAAAACGCTGCATTTTGAGGTTATATTAAAGAATTGTTACCAAAAATAAAAACTATATGTACTATGTAATAATGCGATTTGTAAATTATATGGCAACATTTATACTATATACACATATATATGTATATATTTATTAGAAAAGAGCGCAACTGCAAAACGAAATAAAGAATTTGCGTACAATAATAGAGAAATAATTTTTATTGCAATTGTTATTGTTGAAAGAAAACGAAAATTCGAGAAAATCAGATGATAGTAACAAAAGGCAACCTAAAGTTCAAGAGGCCGAGAACAATATTTTAATTCTTGTGCCAATTATTCTCAACTTTTTAAAGAATAATATAGCATGTTACCTCCATGATGATTTTCTCAATAGTATAGAGCTTGCTCTGACATTTAAGCTTCCAAAAATTACAATAAAAAATCAAAATCGGAATATATTCTAATTTTTTGAGAACATTAATTATCGTTCTCTACACGTTGTTAGTTTGTTATAGTTATTCATTTTATTATTGAATTTATTAATTGTGCCTAATTAAGGCTTATCAGACTATTATATATTTATATATATAACAGGTCAGCGGCACAGAAAAAAGGAACACCAAATATTATTTATATATTAGTTATCAGTTTATATGTTCAGCTTTAATACCATATCTCGATTTGAAAATGAGGAAAAATGGCAGCTTTCTCTTATCCAAGCAGATGCCGTGGAAACTGTTTAATCTCAAGAAGCAAAGTGCACATGCAAATTCATATGCTGCTTATATAGTACATACAATCAGAATATATAAAATACATTGGCTCGATGATAACTGAAAGTGCTCGAAATGGGATTCAGTCAGTTTGTGTGCATTGTCGGAAACGGTCGCGTATTTATTTATTCGCTCTGCTGGCGTATAAAAAAGGAAAAAACTAAAGATTATAATGTGGCACTCATTGCCTGCGCTTGTCGGCATCGCTGTCGTCGTCTGTCTTGCGGCAGGCGCAATTAGTCCAGCGGCTGGCTGCCCTCGGGCGCCCACACATTTGCCCCACGGCCGCCGTACACGCGGCGACAATGGATACAAATTAATTGTAGCTGATGGACCCAACGGCTATGTGCCCGGCAAGGCATACAATTGTAAGTGTTAGGTGGTTCTTGAGTTAAAAAAAAAAAACCAAATAATAAGGTTTTGTAATCAGTGCTCGGGTCACGGCCTCGTGACCCCTAAAAACGCACAAGACAAAGCGCTGGCGATAAGAGATCACAGCATGTGGAAACACACATGACGGGAGGTTGTGCCTTATCATGAGTTTCTAATGTAGTTCACATAATTTCAGTTTATATGAACATAGTAAATAGTTAAAATTGCAGTTTTTAGAATACAAATAACAGTACAACTTTATTAAAAGTTAAACAATATAATGATAAAAAGCATTTCTTAAAAGAGTGTAACGGTCTTTGTGTGCTTTGGCATTTAGCAAGTACACAATTTCGTAAACACAATTCTAACAAATTAAATTTTTTAAATTAAAAAAGTTTAATAAACTTTAACTTAAGTTTAATCTATAGCTTAGCATAGATATAACAAGTAAAACCTCTACGTTGAATGGCACAAGAAAACTCCTGTTGCTTGGCTTTGATCTTCAAAAAAATTGAATATTATGGAACTTAAGTTTTATCTATAGTTTAGCATAGATACAAAAAGTAAAGGCTATATTTAGTTTAAAATAAGGAAATTCTAATGTTCCTTAAATTTGCTGACAGCTAATACATATTATGTTTTATCTATAACAAGGAAATCTCTGATCTCGTTTTTAAATTTTTACAAAACTGAATAGATTTCAGCTTAGTTTAGCTTAGATAGTATTCAGTTAAAAAGCTATGGTTTTTTGGCACAAGGAAACTTGTATGTTTCTTGGCTTTGACATCGTTGACGCACATGATATCTGAGCTTACTCTTTATACAATGTATAAACTAAAATTACTCTAAGTTTGGCATAGATATATATGTTTGTTTGTAAATGTGAAATAATATTAAACTTAGGTTAACGTTAATCTAAAACGAAACCCAAAAGCTGGAAGTTGTATGGCTCAAAGCAATTGTTCCTGGCCATGTGCGTTGCGCAGATGATTAATCAGGCAACCTTGCTTCTTAAAGACGCGCTTGCAATGGGGACAGATGGATCGACACAGGTGTATTAAACGATGCTTCTCGTAGCGCGACTTGTTGCTGCTGCTCTCCTCGCACCACTCACAGTAATACACACAAGAATTGATCTTGGGCAGAAAGGCGAACAGCTGCATATAATGTTCAATTGAAGACGTTAGAGTGATCTTTTTGAAGAACTTAAGATCAATTTGTTGTGCACGCCAGGCATTGATTAAATTTAAAATGCGCTTCAATTCGCAGACATTCAAATTGGTCTTGAATTCGGCGTTGACCTCTTCTGTGAACATGAGAAACTCTCTTACTATATTTTGTGTGAATTGTTTATTAAATCTCGTGGCACTGTGTTGTAGTTTCGTTGTGTATTTTCGCAGAATTATACCAAATTTAGCTGCCCTTGAACGTAATGCATCGACAAATTCAATGGTTTTTAGTTCCTCATAGGTCGCATCCTTTATAATGGTTAGCTGTAATTGAATAAGGGTAAGCATTTAAAAATAACAATTTAGTTTATGCATATACCACTTACCCCAACTGCTCTAAGTAGACTTAAATCATTGTGCAGCTCGTTGGGTATTGGATTTATATTAATTTTAGTTGCCTTCTGTTGCTCCAGTGCCTGCTTCTGCTCATGTTCGCTCACCACGCCGCCACTGCGCTCCAGCTCCCCAGGCTCAGCCAATTGCAGCAAACTATCTGCATTGGTTAGGGTTTTCATGTCGCTCTGCAGTAAACATAATTGGTAAAATTGTATGCTGCAAAAGAAGCGTAGCTCAGGGCTTACCTGTAGAAACTCAACTACGCTGTCGGATAGGTTGAAGCTCAGTGAGCCACTGTCCGACGCACTGTGATCGGTTTTTGTTCGTTTTGCCTCGACTGCAACTCTTGAAGAGTCCGTAATATTCTTTGTAGCTTGCTTTCGTTTGCCTGCATTTCTTTCCGGTTTAAGTGGGTCCCTTTTAAATGTCTCCAGTCGACGGTTTTGTGTGCTGGGCACTGGATATGAGGGTCGCCGGATTGGCAGTTTAGACGAAATAGTCGGGTTTCTATCGACTGCGACCGAAGATCTTCGCTTAACAGCCGTTTTCTTGTTGTGATTGCTGCTTTGGGTCTGTGAAGATCCCATCATAGGTCCTCTCTGTTGTGTTTGTGGGTTTGTTTTTGTTAACTGACTGTTGTGCCTGTTATTAATATTAAGCTTAGGCAAAATCTCGATTTTGTTTATTACAATAGGCGCTGATCTGCTAGTCGTTGGCTTGTCCGAATTCAGGGGACCGGGTGTTTGCACGGTCTTAGTTGGCATCGTGGTTGTTTGTTTAGCTTTTGTGTTACCCAAGTCAGCTGCATTTGATTTCGTCTCTGCTAAACTCTTTCCTTTTCTATCATTCAGTACAATTAAAAATTTTTTCTTATCAGCCTCAATCTCCTTTACTAAAGCTTGGACTGATTGGTTTGGATTGGACTTAAGTGGAGACTTTAGATTAATAAGAGCTGGGTCTTTGATTTGCTCCACAGATTTTTTCGCTGCGCCGCTGCTTGTGGTCTTTATTGAGGATTTTGAAGGTAAATTCGTTACTACAACGGCATTCTCCTTGTCTTGTTTCGGTGAAGATGTATTTGGTTCAGGTTGTGTTTTTAACTGTATGGTGTCTTTATTCTCGGGTTTAATCTTGTTTACTAAAGCACGGTTTGGATTGGACTTTGGATTAATTAAAACTGAGTCCTTTGCAATAGGTTCTCTAAACTCTGACACTGTTAATACGATTTCAACTGTGCTGCTGCCTGTGGTATTTTTGATACGTTTTGAATTCTCTGCGCCTTGCGTATTTAATTTAGGCTCAATTTTTGTGGGCGGTAGCTTATACTCAGCCTTAGCTAAGGGCTCTATTGGTGGTCTTTCTGACAGCATTTGCTTTTGCTGTGACATACTATTAATTTTTAAAAGATCTTCAATAAGCGTCTCCACATTAGCTGGCTTGAGAGGTACGTGCTGCAATTTACGCGAATCGTTTTCCAGCGAACGCACTATGCGCTTTTTAATATTATTCAAGCGCTGCTGTTGCTGCCGCTTGCGTACGGAACGTGCGATCGCATAGCTCTTATAATCACAAGTGGACTTGGACTTGGCGGATTTTAGTTTTGTCGTTTCAAAGTTGGAGGGTCGGGCACACTTCGAGTTGTGTTCTGTGTTCTGCTGCGTATCCGTGTTGTTTACTTTGCAATCTGTGGATTTGAAAGACGCCGCGCTTGTGTCCACAGGAATCTGTTTGTTCTCCAAATGCTTAGTTTCGGGATGTTCTTTGTGCAGCTCATCAATATCTGGCGAGGTAGCAGGTTGCAACATTTGTTGCAATTCTGAGCCTTGTTCTGTTTCATCTTCCGCCTGTGGCTGTGCTTTGTCAGGAACTATTGTATCTTTAGTCTCTGGATCATACTCTGCCAACAAGGCCTCCACTTCGGCTAGTACGTCCCTTGTTTCAGCATCCACCGACAACGGTGTACATTTGTCTACTGCAGTAAGATATTTATAAAAAGGGAGTAAAAATCAAATCGCCATTGGACTCACCTTCTGCCCGCCACTGCAACACATTTTCATTCTTGTTTATTGACTTCGTTTTTCTGTAGTCCAATTCGGACAATGCCTTACAAATATTCTGATTTGTTGGATCGGTTTCCATGCTGCAGCTGTTGCCGCGCCCCAAGCAGGTAGCTTCAGCTGCAGCTGCAGCATCAGCTGGCAACCCGGAATCGCTGCTGCTGCTGCTGATATTCGTCTGCGTTTGCACATCTTCCTGTGCCATCAGCTCCTCTACGGTGTAAACACTGTGCGGCTTAGTGAAGCCAAGCAGATTGTTGTGCATCCATTGCAAATGATGCAGAAATTCCGACAAATTTGTGTAAATGTCGCAACAGAAATGACAATATATGCCAATCATATTATCCTTGGTTGACACGATCACATCGCCGCACTTTTCGAAATTTACACAGTCATCCGATAGTAAATTGAGGAAAGAACTCATTTTTATAAAACGATTTTAATTATGTTTTTGGCAATTTCAATTCAAAGCAGCAACTGAAAAACAAACGAACGTAAAAAAACGCGGGACGCTCTACGATCGAGCACGAATAGCGCTGTGATTAGCCACCGATAACATGCATAGTTGCTCTCGGCACGAATGTCGCTGTGTTTAGTCATCGATAACATGCATCGTTTTACTCGGAAGTCTATCAAAGTTAAATAATCGAAACTCAAGTTACACAAATTTTTTTAATGTATCGAATGGTAGAGTGAAAAGACATTTGAATTTTAACGGACAATCATTTTGCTCTATTTCAAGTGCTGTTGCTTGGGTCGCGCACTCACACGAAAATCCAGCACTTTACGCATTTCACTATCGCTGCTGGCACCAGACGCCCCCAGGGGGATAATCCACGTCATGTTGGTCGCTTCCAGCTCTTCAGCGATTCACTCACCAAATTCAACGATCGCTGCGTAAACACCGTGTCCGAGGCGGATGATTTGCCCAAGACTGAGGTACAGGTCATGTGGGTGGCACCCCAGGCCGGCTCGGGATGTGTCTCGCTTTCCGCCATGGTATACGAGGGTCCACGCGCCTGGTTTGCGGATGACGGCCAGCTCACCCAGGTTATATGTGAGCACAAACCAAGCGCAGCAGCCACGCAGAAGGAGTGCTGCGCCTGTGATGAGGCCAAGTACAGCGTAAGTCCTAGACAGCTTTTATGGAATAGTTTACTAAATGCTTGCGTAGTTCGTTTTCGAGGGCATCTGGTCGAGTGAAACACATCCCAAGGATTACCCGTTTGCTATCTGGCTGACGCATTTCTCTGATGTAATTGGCGCATCGCATGAAGCCAACTTTTCCTTCTGGGGCGAGCAGCATATAGCCACCGATGGCTTCCGCTCGCTGGCCGAATGGGGCTCACCCACGGCTTTGGAGACGGAACTGCGCACGCAGGGCCCAAAATTGCGCACGCTCATTAAAGCTGCTGGCCTTTGGTTTCCAAATGTCAACCAGAACACTTCATCTAAATTTCGTGTTGATCGTAAGCACCCCAAGATTTCATTGGTTTCCATGTTTGGCCCGTCACCCGACTGGGTGGTTGGCATTAGTGGGGTTGATCTATGTACGGCCGACTGCAGTTGGAAGGAATCCATGGACTTTGATCTATATCCATGGGATGCCGGCACTGACAGCGGCATCACGTATATGGTGAGAAGGTGTTGCCATAAACGTGGTGATCTTCAACTAATTCCTTGTTTATTTAGTCCCCAAATTCAGAGACACAGCCACGCGAACGCATGTATAAGATTACCACCATGTATCCGGAAGATCCCCGTGCGCCGTTCTACAACCCACAGAGTCAGCAGATGACGCCGGTTGCCAAGCTGTATTTGCGTCGCGAGAAGATTATTTCACGCAATTGTGATGATGACTTTTTGCAAGCTCTACAACTGGAGGTATCCGATGATACAGAGGAGCAGGATACACGCGGTAAGCTAGTGCACAATTTTTAATCATCATCCTGGTTAAATATGCATCTACCGCCACAGCCGAATGCCGCGTCAGCAACTACAACGCCTGGAGTCCCTGCTCTGTCAGCTGCGGCAAGGGCATACGCATGCGCAGCCGTCAGTATCAAAATCCCGAGCGGGCGCAGCAGGGCCAATGCACGCGCCAGCTGGTGTCCAAGGAGATGTGTGTGGCGGCTGTGCCCGAGTGTGCCAATGGCTCGGCTGGCCAAGATCGTGACGAGGATGAGGGCGAAAATTTGGCCAACTTGCAATCGGTTGTCAGCGATAACGGCGAAGGCGCCGGTCTCTGCAAAACCTCACCCTGGAGCGTCTGGTCGGAGTGCTCTGCTAGCTGCGGTATAGGCATCACCATGCGCACACGCACATTTGTTAGCCCGCTGGGCCGCAAACGCTGTCCACACATCACAATTGTGGAGAAGAACAAGTGCATGCGGCCGGATTGCACGTATGAGCAGGTGGAACTGCCGGATCCTGATTGTCCCACCACACAATGGAGTGACTGGAGTCCGTGCTCCGGCACATGCGGACATGGTAGCTCAATACGTCAACGTTTGCTGGTGCTGGACGATGGACCCATTAAGGACAATTGCACAACGCGCATGGAGCTGCATCAGCAAAGGGAGTGCCAACACGCTCTAGACTGTAGCATCAACATGGAACTGGCCAAGGACATTTGCGTGCAGGAGCCGGACAGTGGACCCTGCCGTGGAAGCTATCAGCGCTATGCCTACAATGCCCAGGCCAATCGCTGTGAATCCTTTATCTACGGTGGGTGTCGCGGCAATCGCAACAACTTCCTCACCGAGAGTGACTGCCTGCACACCTGCAACAAGATACGCGACGAGGGCACTTCCAGTGCTCATTCTCGTGGGGAGATCAACCTGCCCAAGGCCTGCGTCATGTCCGAGTGGTCGAACTGGTCGCCCTGCAGCGTGACCTGCGGCAATGGCTACTCCGAGAGTCGTCGCTATGTAGTAAGCGAGCCACAGCGTGGCGGCCAGCCGTGTCCCAAGCGTCTTGTCAAGCAACGCCCCTGCGCCATGCCAGCCTGCTAAGCATTGTGGTGGTCACCATTAACTTTGCCTTTTCTATTACATTTTATAACCATTTCGAATAAAGTGAACAGCGCTTTAAACTCGTAATAAACTCTTGTTGCTTTAATTGTTTTTCTTACTAATCACAACTTGACATAATTAAAAGCCCCACGTTTGTCATTTATATGTGCTTATATAACATTTACTATACCAAAGGGTATACTCGAACTGAGAGGAGCTTGGCCTCTGATCTTATCACACTATTTAACATTTAGAATCTGTATATTTTTTTTTAAATATTTAAATTTTTGGATCAACTGTTTGTGTAAATTTTGAGAAAGAACACAACTTTAGAAACTTTTAATTTTGTTTTTTTTAATCCATTTTTTTAGCTACTTTAAATCGAAAATTTAAATTCTCTTTGAACTCAGAATCTATTCTGAGTTGCTTAAAAATCTAGCTATAAATTACCTTTAATCCAATAGACCCAAATTTAAAGTACATTTTTCTTCGCCTCACTTAAAATTTCTAGATGCTATTTTATTCAGGTTTTCCACTCATTCTTCTGTATACAAAGTTGGTTTATTTTATATAAATATGTTGTTTTAGTCGTTTAATGTCTCTATCAGCAATGTTGAGTTAAAGTTTTTACTAATACATTTTTTTTAAAAATATAAATACCCCGTTTATCTTTTTTTTTTAAATTAAAACATTTTGTAAATTTAAGATTTTTGGTGTGAAATATTTGTAAGCAAAAAATTAATTAACTTAACCTTAACTTAGTCCTTAGCTACGTCTTCGAACTATTTCCTATGTATATTTCCTCAGCTTTGGTATTCACAACATTCTAGGCATTCGCAGAAGATTTGTATGATGCCAATAGTAAATTTTGAATTGCTTTAAGGTATTTCCCGAGTCGACAATTGTGCATATTCTTATCCATTTGCAAGTTACATACGCATATATACATTACTTTCCGCTTAGCCAAGCAATTATAGTTACAATTGAATACTGCCAACCGGCTGTCGAATTCCAGCTGCAGAGCTCTAGGTCACTTTCACTGAGCACCGAAAGTGTTGCAGCCAAATATGTGTATGTTAAAGAGACGCTTTCCCGGCCACAATCGCAACTAGTTTGACGTTAGCCCGTTTAGTTAGTGCTAGCAACTTGTCGAGTGCGTCTCGAAGAGCCATGGATAAGTGCCAGGTCAGGTTTCCCTATGACATACGTGATGTGGACGCTGCCACCAATGCCGAGCTATTGGAGTATTTTACAGGTGGGTGGTGCTTCGAACTTCCTTTACCTTTACCTAACCTAAGGCTCCTCCGAACGGTAGGAGAGCGCACGGGCTTTGTGCAAGTTGGACCCGAGGGTTATTTCTTTCCACACAAGTACAAAGTGCAGGCAGAGCTTTATTACAACTTTGAGGCGCGTCCCGATGATGTCTGGATAACAACTGTGCCACGCTCGGGCACCACCTGGACACAGGAGCTAATCTGGTTGCTGGCCAATGGCTTGGACTTTGAGAAGGCGCAGCAACGTCCTCTCACTGAACGTTTTCCCTTCCTGGAGTGAGTTTTGCATTGGAAAAGAGCTGCAAATTTTGACTATCTATATACTCCTCCGCCGGCAGATTTCCCTTGTTTGTGCATGATGCTGTCAAAGCAGAGCTTCTGGCTGAGAACAGGCACTCGCCGGCTGCTGTGGAATTCATTGAGCACATTTCGCGGCCCGGCTATGAAACGCTGGGCGAGCTACCACGCGACCAGCGACGTTTTATTAAAACTCATTTTCCCTTCTCATTGATGCCGCCGAGCGTTCTGGAGCATAAATGCAAGGCAAGTGATTTACTAAACAAGAAACAAAGCTATTTGCTTTATCCCATACCATTTCAGATTATCTATGTGGCGCGCAATCCCAAAGATGTGGCCGTGTCCTACTATCATCTGAACCGTTTATTTCGCACGCAGGGATATGTTGGGGATTTTGAGCGCTATTGGCGCTATTTCCAGCAAGGATTAAGTATGTGAACAGCATTTACAATTCTTTGCATATAGTTAATCCACTTGCAGATCCCTGGCTGCCTTATTATAGTCATGTGAAGGAGGCCAAGCAGCATAGTCAACTGCCAAATGTGCTTTACCTTAACTATGAGGACATGCTGGTGGATTTGCCAGGAACTGTAATGAGCATAGGAAAGTTTTTAGATTGTGCGCCCGATGCTGTGGGATTGGAAAAGTTACTCAATCATTTAAGCATTCAAAACTTTCGCGAAAATAAATCGGTTAACATGCACGAAATGGCAGCCGTTGGCATTCTGAAGAAGGGCGAGGCCGGATTTGTGCGTAAAGGTGGCAAGGATATCACAGCCAAGCAGCATGATCAAAAAGAATTTGTAGATAATCCAAATCTGTTAAAGCTTGCTAACGATTGGATACAACAAAATATTGAATGTATTAAAACGATATAAAATAAAACGGTTAAATTTGCAATGTTAAAATATTATCGATCGAATTCGATACTTTCCGCGAGCTGTTCCTCAAGGCTGGTACGCTGGTCCAAAGATAATGATTTATACAATATTGGGTTTTTGAAAATAGTTTAATATTTCATTAGATATAAATACATT